ATAATTAAACTATTCAGCCATTCAAATTAAGAATCTAAGTGACTATATACCTAACATAACAGAATCAACAAACTATTAATTACCAACATAAACACCATCAGAATTCAGACACAATAACTTAATGATCAATTAATGTAAAACAAAGGATTGTCATATAATATTTATCAACAACTCATTATTCAACTTCATTCGAATGTCAAAATTAATGCAGGAATATATAATTACAAGTTTTACCTGCTGAAATGATAGGTCAATTAAAGACAGATGCAACCACTAACAGAAAAATATTCCAGGAGAAAATCAATAAGAATACTTATTAACGGTTGTGGAAAAGGTCTCAACCAAGCTACGTATACTACAGTTCAAATTCAGCTGGAAAGAAATTCACAAAGTTGGACTGATAAAACAATAAAAAAAAATCTTCCGTCTACCTGTTACCAAGATTTTCCATCTAAAAATGTAACCGAAATGTTGCATGCGGGTGTAAAAGCTCCAATTATGAAATTCTCAGGAAAAAAAAAAAAATGTTAGTTAACTACCTGATGTAGAGCGTAGTACATTTAGGGAAGAAGATGAGATACTCTCTCAAAGGAACACACAGATTTTTATTTCAATCGATCAAAAACTGATCTTTCTCATCGTCCCCATAACATATAAATAAGATAACAAAGAGAAATAAATATTTGTAATCTTGCCCCACAATTGCAAGATAATTATTTTCCTACCCAAAGTACTAATTAACTAAAGGAAATAAAATAAAAGAGTTCGAATAATAATAATAAAATGAAACCGACTAAACCCAGAAACGGTCATATTTATTCAAATACGCAATAGCGGTCTCGTCTTCATCATCCTCCCCCAGTTGAGCAGGATTCGGCCTCGAATCCGAAGCGGTCTCGTCTTCGTCCGAGTTGTCCCCCACAAACGGCACCATGTGCTTGACGTTGAAGACGTCAGACGTACGAATATGAGAAGGAAGACGGAGACGATAAGCATTAGGATTTATCTTCTCAATTACCTCGACCGGGCCAATCTTCCGGGCCGATAGTTTGTTATACTCGTGGGCTGTGAACCTATCCTTCGTCAAGACGGCCCAAACGTAGTCACCAACCGAGAACTCCACGTGCCGTCGTCGCAAATCAGCCGTTCGCTTGTACGACGCAGTCGTGGCCTCCAATCGAGCCCGAGCCGTCTCGTGGGTCGCCTTCAAATCAGCCAGAAGGTCCGCGGCCCTCCGGTCAGCCGCAACGCCGGGCGCCAAGCTCACCAAGTCGGACGGTCCCCGCGGGCGCACCGCATAAACAACCTCGAACGGTGACAAGCCCGTGGCCCGACTGACAGCCAAATTATGAGCAAACTCCGCCTGGCTCAACCGCTGGTCCCAACTGCGAATATTATCACCCACCAAGCAACGCAGTAGGTTACCCAAAGACCGATTCACGACCTCCGTCTGGTCATCCGTCTGGGGATGGTATGCACTACTGAAATCCAAGCGAGTGTTCGCCATGCGCCATAAACTACGCCAGAAGTGACTGAGAAATCGCGTGTCGCGATTCGAGACGATCGAGGACGGAAGGCCATGGAGACGGTACACCTCCCGAAAGAACAACTGAGCCACATGTACTGCATCGGTCGTCCTCTTGCATGGAATAAAATGCACCATCTTCGAAAACCTGTCGACAACGACAAAAATGGAGTCGAAACCACGCTGAGTACGGGGCAAACCCAGCATGAAGTCCATACTAACCGCACTCCAAGGGATGGAATGGGAAGGGGCCTATACAAACCCGCGTTGGACGCGACCCCTTTCGAGACATGACAAATACGACAACGCTCCACAAATCGGCCCACATCCCGCCGAAGAGACGGCCAAAAATAGGACCGCCCAACCAGCTCAACTGAACGATCTCGCCCAACGTGCCCCGCACCATGCAGCTCAGCAATGAGCTTCAGTCGAAGGCTTCAGTCAGGAATACAAAGACGAACTCCTCGAAACAGGAACCTGTCAGTCAAAGAGTAGTCGTTCACCGGGCCCACCGCCAGGCGACGCAGGACCGGGCCAAAGAACCCATCAGCAGCATACAACTCGCGCAAGACATCAAAACCCACGACAGACACCCGCATGTCTGTCAATAGTAGCGCTCGGCGGCTCAAAGCATCCGCCACCTGGTTCGAAACCCCAAAACGATGCCTAAGAACAAACGTAAACTGCTGAAGAAAAGCAGTCTAAGAGGCATGATGAGCCGAAATATTATCCTGAGAGGCCAAATGCCGTAAGGCCTCGTGGTCCGTGTAAAGAATAATGTCCCGGTGAAACAAATAATGCCGCCAATGACGGACAACGCGAACAATGGCATAGAACTCCACATCATAAGTGTTGTAGCGAGCACGAGGGCCATAAAGCTTCTCACTGAAAAAAGAGACGGGACGACCCTCCTGACTGAGAACAGCATCAATGCCCACCTTCGAAGCATCGCAAGAAAGCTCAAATGGACTCGAAAAATCCGGAAGAACAAGCACAGGAGCCGATGTCAGCTTATCCTTAATCAATGTAAAGGCTGACTCAGCCTCCGGAGTCCAGGCAAACGACTTCCCATGAAGGCAATCGGTTATCGGCGCCGTGATAGTGCTAAAGTGAGAAATAAACCGACGATAGAACGAGGCGAGGCCGTGGAAGCTACGCGCCTCCGTGAAGGACGTCGGAGACGGCCAATCCCAAATAGTAGCTACCTTGCTCTCGTCCACACGGATGCCCTCAGCCGAAATGACAAAACCCAAAAATAGCACCGAACTAACCAAAAACACACATTTACGAGGTGCAAAAAAAGACTCAGCACGTAACACAAGTAGCACCTCGCGAACATGCTGCAAATGCTCATCCAACGTCCGGCTGTAAATAAGAATATCGTCGAAATAAACAACGACTCTTGCCAATAAAATCTCAAAGGGCCTGATTCATCACTCGCATGAACGTACTAGGAGCATTTGATAAGCCGAAAGGCATGACCATCCACTCAAACAGGCCCTCACGGATCTTGAAAGCCGTCTTCCACTCGTCCCCCAGTCGGATCCTAATCTGGTGATAGCCGCTACGCAGATCCAGCTTGGTGAAGATAGTCGCACCATGAAGCTGATCCAGCAAGTCATCTAACCTCGAAATAGGAAAACGATAGCGAACCGTGATCTTGTTGATGGCCCGACTGTCGACACACATGCGCCAGGAAGCATCCTTCTTAGGAATCAAAAGGGCGGGAACTGCACAAGGACTCAAACTACGACGCACCGCCCCCCGCTGAAGAAGCTCTTCGACCTGCCTGCGCAACTCCTCATGCTCCAATGGGCTCATCCGATAGTGAGGTCGATTCGGAAGAGCCGCTCCCGGCACCAAATCAATGTGGTGCTGAATATCACGAAGCGGAGGTAAGCCCGACGGCAGGTCCTCCGGGAAAACGTCAGCAAACTCAGATAATAAAGGACGAATAGCGAAAGGGAGCTCCTGTTCGGCACTGACATCAGTCCCCACCAACAACAACACCACTGGAGAATCCCTCATAGCTGTCACAAAAGCCGACGGAGAAAGAAAAAGGACCGAAGATGCCGGACGGGTCTGCTGTACCGCACGAGGAGGAGAAGGAACCAAAGTAATTTTGATCCCCCCAAAAAGAAAAGAATACGTGTTCTGGCGCCCGTCGTGAGTTGCAGCTCGATCATATTGCCAAGGACGGCCCAACAATAAGTGACAAACATCCATCGGGACCACATCACACCACACTTGATCCCGTTATGTCGACCCAATGGAAAAGAAAACGAGAGCCCGACGATCAACAGTGACCGCCCGTTCTCAATGAATCCACGCCAAAGTATACGGCTGAGGGTGAGGCTCACAAGAAAGTTGTAACTTATCAACGGCTTCCTGCGAGATAACATTTTCACAAGCACCAGAATCAATAATAAAACGACAAATCTTATTACCCATCGTGCGCGTCGACTCAAAGAGGTGGTTCCGCTCGCCGGTCACTTCACTCGAAGCCTTTGGTGTCAAACACGTGCGCCGGAGGACTAAGGCTATCCCGACATCTCCGCTAACAAATTGTTCAATCTCGCCCCCCTCGGTATCATAAACCGGCTGGCCATCATAACCCTCCACCGCGTCTAAGTCCCCGCCGTCTTCCGTGAAAAGAGCACGCGAACTAGTACCCTTGGGACACGCCGACTGTCGGTGTCCCATCTCGCCACAACCAAACAACGAAGGCCCGCCACCGTACGAGCTGCCGCCGCCGAGAATTGCGGACCGTCACCACCCCCGGTCCGCTGAAATTGTCCGCCAGGCCCCGTACCACGCGCCGTAGTAGCCCCTTGTCCCAAGCCGGGAGTCGCCGATACCGCAGGCCGCGGCTGGAATGGCGCACCTCCCGAGGTTCCACCTTGCCGCGAGAACGACCCAAAATTGGTACCCGATTTTTGAGCCAGCTGAATCTCTGCGAGAACAGCCCTTTGGTGAGCATCCAAAACAGACACCGGGCGAAAGAGGTTCAACGTATCCTGCAATGAAGTCCGTAACCCGCCAACATAACAGGACACCAACTGATTCTTGGTCTCCCGTAACTCAACCCGAGTAAGGAGACGATAAAACTCGATCGTGTACTCATCCATGGAACGAGAGCCTTGTCGTAAATTCTGCAATTGTTGGTACACGATGGAATCATAATTGAAAGGTACGAATTCACGCTCTACATACTTCCGAAATTTCATCCACGAGGATAACTCTGGCTTCCCCTGTCGATGCCGCATGCTCGTGAGTTGCATCCACCAAGTCGCAGCCCGGCCTCGAAAACGAGTGGCGACCAAAGCAACACGCCTCTCCTCGGGCACTCCCTTGAATCGAAGAACGGCCTCCACTGCCGCCCACCACTCAACAAACTCCGACCCATCAACCCCTCCAGTAAACTCTGGTATATCGATTCGAAACCCCTGCTCCCAACGTGACTCATCGCCCCCTTCTATCGGACGCCTGCCGTCACGCCGGTGATGTCCAAATCGATCAACCCCGTCAAATTCCCCAAAAGCTGGTCGCCGCTGAAAGTCTCCCTCACGACCGCCCCAGCCACGACGGTGCAGCCCCTCATCCTCGACCTCCAAATCGGTACCCTCGCGTGAAATCGCGCGTCGCTGGTGTTCGACACGGCCATCGCGAAAATCCCCAAACCTGCCATCGTGGTCATCACCACTGTCAACCTCATCGAACCCGTCCCTGCCATAAACCCTAGGGTCACGTAGCAGGCCTGTGAGTATGAGCAGTCGCGAACGGGTTCTCCCCGCTCCACGTCTCCTCGTCCTCGTCACCGGACAGAGGTGGAGTTGGCCGCCGGCGGGGCGCCCCGCCAAACCCACGGCCTCCTCTACCCCCGCGAAACCCTCCGCGTCCACCCCGGTCGGCGTCGCGGGTTGTACAAACCTCTGTCATCAGGGTACGCATCGGCTGTCGCAATTCCTCGATTCCGGTGTTGATGTCGGTGAAACGGTCATCCATCCCTTGAAATCGATCTTCCGTTCTCTGGAATCGTTCTTCAACGATGTTGTCGTTTCTCTTAGGCGGCATCGTGGATCGCTGCTGGTCTCTAGATACCAACTGATGTAGAGCGTAGTACAATTAGGGAAGAAGATGAGATACTCTCTCAAAGGAACACAGATTTTTATTTCAATCGATCAAAAACTGATCTTTCTCATCGTCCCCATAACATATAAATAACAAAGAGAAATAAATATTTCTAATCTTGCCCCACAACTGCAAGATAATTATTTTCCTACCCAAAGTACTAATTAACTAAAGGAAATAAAATAAAAGAGTTCGAATAATAATAATAAAATGAAATCGACTAAACCCGGAGACGGTCATATTTATTCAAATACGCAATAGCGGTCTCGTCTTCATCATCGATGATGCAGCGCATCCCACATCGGGTTTGAAAGGAAAAGAAGCAGGCCTTATATGAGGATGTGGATACCTTCACTAGTAAGACGCATTTTGGTGGGTGTGTATTGAAGCACAGCCAAGAACAAAGCCGTGCGGGTGGCGGAAGTAGCTCAAAGCAGACAATATCTTACTAGGGTCTGCATCAGTTGGTATCAGAGCCAGCCCATGTTCCAGCGGTGACCGCTGGGCCCACAAGGGGGAGTGGATGATGCAGCGCATCCCACATCGGGTTTGAAAGGAAACGAAGCAGGCCTTATATGAGGATGTGGATACCTTCACTAGTAAGACGCATTTTGGTGGGTGTGTATTGAAGCCCAGCCAAGAACAAAGCCGTGCGGGTGGCGAAAGTAGCCCAAATCGGACAATATCTTACTAGGGTCTGCATCACTACCACACAACAATCACAAAGCCAAAGGACACCTAATAGGGATGCTTATTGGTCCAGGCACTGAAACTCTACCAACTCGATGTAATTGACCTCGACTCACATTCCACCGACTAAAAGGAATCTGGGGAGAAATTTTATGTTATATGTCAAAAACAAAAGTATCGACGCTCAATCAAAAGGTGCTAAACTTTAAGCTTTATTGAATCAAATTCCTTAATACAACACCAGCAGGAGATTTTCATGTAAAAGCTCAAGCTCCAATTACTGCTGAAATGGAAAAAATAGGTTAGATGAAGTCAAATACAGAAAACAATCATCCATAATCTCAAATACAATATGGCAGCACATGCACATCATACATTTGAATCCAAACCCCAAAAATGATCAACTTACTCCGTTTCCAATCTTGAAATCAAATCAGAGAGTAAATAATTTGAAATCGGCTAAAATGGAGCAGAGCATGAAAAGAAAACCATAATTAAATATGCATAACTCGGGAAGGTATCATGAGACAATTAAATTAAACTTGGAAGTTAAAACTATATGCTTTTATACCAGAGCCTTTTTAAAAGTGAACAAGTTATGCCTTAGATTAAAGAAAGCGACAACTTAGAAACTTCAAACTCTTAGAAAAACAATAGATCAATAGATGCTGACATGATTACCCTCCATAAGTATATTTTCAATAATTAGTTTCTCATATAAAATGAGAAGCTTTAGGACATAAGTCGCCAAAAATTTGAATTTAACTTCTTAGGAGTAAAAATGAATCATATCAGGAACAATTCAAAAATACTTTTTGCATATGATACCAAACAACTCTTGAGACATCAATTAAGAATACATTACTTAGTTTGCTTTGTATATATATTCAAAAACATAGAATCTTAAACGTGACAATATTCCAAACCACAAAATTGAGAAGCTGCAATAAACAAAGAGGCATCAATTGATTGTCCAAAAAAAAAAAGAAACATAAAGTCATGGAAACATTCACCCTACAGTTCGAACCGTCGGGTGTGTTATGTGCATGATCCGAGAGTTAAACCATCCAAAGCACACAAGAAAACAGTAGAAGACCTGTGAACCTCAAGTTTTAGGGCTAGCTCTTTGGTATTACGGGCAGAAACAAAGATGTGGCACTCACAAGGCTTTATGAAGTCATCGTCAACTGCTTTATCAATGACAGTCAGGAAGAAGCTGTAGTAGCCATCAACAATTAAGCAAACCCACCTAACAAACAACATTCAACATTAAGATGGAGAATTAGTGAATAGAAAACATAAGATAAGAATCACAACCAACAATTTTTGTCTAGAATTATAAATTATATTTCGGATATAGATTCGTCATGAATGCCTAGTTCAGCCCATGTTATAACCTCCAATCCAAAGTCTCATAGCCACCTACAACAAGACACATTGTGAGCAAAAGAAGTGTATATTTTTAAGAATTGAGAGAGAGAGAGAGAGAGAAAGAGAGAGAGTACCAGACAAAGCAATGAAGCAATCAAAATGGAAGGCCATCTCACCCTTCCTCTGGTGCATATTAGCCACCATTGTCACCTTCCCAATAGGTTTTACCAGTTTTCTACAAGATTACATTTTTATAAGTTAAGAATCCAATCTTTACCAAATTTTCAGGTTTAAATCTCGAAACGAAGATTGACGAAAAAAATAAGTAAACCTACTTATCTGAGATTTTGCCTCCCTCAGTAACCATCACCATCGCCAGGGATATATAAGAAAAAAAATGAAAACTCTAAAAAGAGGGATAAGGATTTGGAAATGTGAATCTGAAACTCATTGAGGAAGAAAATGAGATTTTTAGAAAATTACGGAGGTGTCTCTCGTCTAAAATCTCGGTGGAATTTACTTCATGCTCGAAATCAGTTGCTAAATTCCCCGTTGGTAAGGCTGCTGCTTTTCGGAGACCTCCAAACCGAGTCAACACAACCATCACTCTCCAGTCTTCTCGCCACTGCTCGCCAACGATCTCCATATTGTCTTCCTTTTGTTCGATCGACATGGTGTAACGATGGTTAGGGTTCGACAAGATCTCTTTCACTGTTACTAAATGCCGATCTTCTAAATCAAAAAGAAAACCCCTCTGTGCTTTTTCTATGTGCCGATGGCAGCAAGAATGAAATTTTTGTGAGAGAAAAAGTGTGTTGTGGATTTCGTCTGAAAAATGATGAGGAATGAAGCTTTAATTGCCTCTGTCAAAAGCAGAAAATTAATGTAGTAGGTGGAGGTTTACATGGGAAGGAAGCAATTTAAAATGCAAATAGTAAGGCGGTGGCCAAAACGACGTCGTTTCACCCCACTAAATCGGAAAAAAGAAATAAACACAGGAATTTGGAGGCTCTCTTTGGTCTTGTTAATATGCCACGTGGAGGCAAAAAATTCAATTCATATAACACCACAAATTGCCACGTGTACAAGAGAGATTTTTTCTTATAAGTAAAAGAGAGAAAGAGAGATTTTTTCTTATAAGTAAAAGAGAGATATAAGTAAAAGAGAGATTATTATTTTTATTTTGATGTTTAATTTTTATTAAAAATAATAACACATAATTTATGAAACTACCTTTCAAAATTATTTGGTAAAAATCTTATCTCCCATGTAAAATAAAATCTCCTCTTTTATGTAGACTTTTAATATATAATCATATTAATATTTAGATTTGAATTTTAAAGTCCAACTTTAAAATTCAACTATTAATTTAGTAATTCCAATAATTACTTAATTAATATCCAAAGCCTAAATAATCAATCCAACTGATTAATTTATTATATTCTTTTAATTGACTTCTAATCAAAATTAGATTTAATTCAATAATCAAATTATTTAATTAAGTCTTGTCGATTAATCCAACTATTGGAAATACCAATTCCAATATTGTCATCATCCAAAATTTGGTGTGACCTTTTTAGGTTCACTATTAACACTAGTAGTGGGTTTACAACTAGTTATAATTTAAATTAATCTAATTAATTTATATTCTTGAAATTAACTCCTTAATTTCAAGAACCCACAAATCATGGGAACACCTAACAAGTAGCATGATTATCTAGTGTTACATGAAATAGCGAGTAAACCTTTTCGATTGCAAGTACATACACAACTAATTTCCCGATTAAATCTTGGGTATGGTTTTTAGTCGAAACCCATTTGATTTAATAACTATGATGATTCCATTTCAAGTTTAGTGATTCCTTTATGAATCCATATTCATCTCGCCTTGGCCAAGGTTTTTGAATCACAAAGTATGAAAAACATAGGAAATTCACGTATCTACATAAGTGTCGAATTCTTTATTGGCTACTGATAAACCTCCATACATATTAATACAATACCCAAAATATCCCTTTTATGATTATCCAGTAATCAAAGGATAAATCAAAGTAAAGTATAATATGCACAAGATTACTATCGTGCCTCAAGTCAAAGGATCAGTCATGTACTATTGCAACATGAAAATTCTTATTCGACAGTAAAACTTCCATTAAAAAAATTCCATACGGTCGTGTTCAGTGAACTTGCTCTCTATCAAGCACCCACATATATGTATTTGAATTCAATGCTAATGTTGATGGAATGCAACATTCTTGTCCAACAACCATACATTATATGTGCAAGTATTACCGGATTATTCGATATCCCATCTCGAAATACCCATCGACTTGGAACATTATTTAAGATCACAGCTTTCAAGGCATGTTCCATGATTACCATCCAATGCGTAAACATGCCTTATAGCTATTAATGATCTAGGCACTTTATCATATGTTCAAATATATGCAAATACATAAGATAAAGTAATGCCTTTTATTAATATAAATTCCAATGAATTGTTTTTTACAAGTAAAATGTATCCAATCTGATTGGAACGCTGGGTATTCTACTCTAACAATCTCCCACTTGCCCTAGTCCAATCACCCATGTATTTAAGACCCATCTTCTCATGATGTCTTTCAAATACTTTCTGTGATAAAGGCTTAGTTAAGGGATCTGCTATATTTTTTGCTGAGTCGACTCTATCCATTATGACGTCGCCTCTACCAATAATTTCTCTAATCAAATTATGTTTGGATCTTTGATGATATCTTGGCTCTTTCGCTTGTGCAATAGCCCCATTGTTATCACAATAAATCATTATTGGATCAACAACAGACGGTACTATACCCAACCTTTGAATGAAGTTCCGTATCCAAACAGCTTCTTTTGCAGCATCTGATGCTGCAATATATTCAGCCTTAGTTGTAGAGTCAGCAGTTGTTTCTTGTTTGGAACTTTTCCAACTTACGGTTGCTCCATTTAAGGTAAATATGTATCCTGACATGGATTTAGAATCGTCTTTATCAGACTGAAAACTAGAATCAGCGAAGCCTTCTAGTTTTAGTTCTCCATTTCCATATATCATAAAGATATCCTTAGTCCTTCTCAAGTACTTAAGAATCATCTTAACGGCTTTCCAGTGTTCTTCACCTGGATTAGACTGATATCTGCTCGTTACACTAAGTGCATGAGCCACATCAGGTCTTGTACATAACATGGCACATAATGCTACCAATAGTTGATGCATAAGGTATATGATTCATCCATTCTCTTCCTTCAGGCGTCTTTGGAGACATTGCCTTGGAAAGTGAAATGCCATGACTCATTGAAAGGTATCCACGTTTAGATTCCTCCATGCTAAATCGTTTTAGCACCATATTTATGTACATTGATTGGGATAGTCCGATCATCTTTCTAAATCTATCTCTATAGATTTTTATCCCAAGGATAAAAGATGCTTCTTCCAAATCTTTCATGGAAAACTGTTTTGACAACCATGCCCTTGTTGACTGCAACATTCCTACATCCTTCCCAATGAGTAAAATGTCATCAACATAGAGCACAACAAATGTTACTGCATTTCCGATAACCTTCTTATAAACACATGGTTCATCCGGATTTTTGTAAAAATCAAATGTTTTGATCGTTTCATCAAACCGAATATTCCAACTCCTTGAATCTTGTTTAAGTCCATAAATAGACCTTTGGAGTTTGCAAACCATTTGCTCGCTCCCACTGGATACAAAGCACTGTGGCTGTTTCATATAAATATCCTCCTTAATGTTTCCATTAAGAAAAGCAGTCTTCACATCCATTTGCCATATCTCGTAGTCATAATACGCAGCTATGGCTAGCAAGATCCGAATATATTTAAGCATTTAAACTGGTGAAAAAGTTTCCTCATAATCAATACCTTGTTTTTTAGTATAACCTTTTGCAACCAGACGCGCTTTATAAGTATTCACCTCTCCATCTACTCCAAGCTTCCGCTTGTAAACCCATTTACAACCAATGGGTACAATACCCTGTGGTGGGTCCACCAAGGTCCACACCTTGTTTGAGTACATGGAGTTCATCTCGGATTGCATAGCTTCTTGCCATTTATTTGAGTCAATGTCCGACATTGCCTCTTCATAGCTTGTTGGATCATTATCCAAAAGGAGTCCCTCTTCTTTGTTTTCTAACAATAGGTACAGCCTTTCAGGTGTCCTAGAAATCCTTGTGGATTTCGGAAGAGATTGTGCCTTTGAAGATTCAGTCTCAACTGGTGTGTTATCTGTGACAACTTGTGGGATAGTTTGTGGTTCTTGTTCTTCATTAAGTTCTACAACCTCACCATTCTCATTAGAAAGAAATTCTTCTTCTAAAAAAACGGCATTTTTTTAAACAAACACCTTTTGCTCAGAAGGGTCATAGAAATAGTATCCTATAGACTCTTTTGGATACCCCACAAATTTACATAAGATGGATCTCATATCCAACTTATCTCCCACTTGCTTCTTCACATAAGCAGCACACCCCCATACTTTCAGATACTTGTACGAAGGTGTTTTGCCAAAACACATCTCATAAGGTGTGTTAGGCACGGCTTTACTTGGCACTCTATTCAATATATGTGTTGCCGTTTCTAAGGCATAGCCCCATAATGAAAGAGGTAAAGTAGTGGAACTCATCATTGATCAAACCATGTCCAACAATGTCCTATTTCTCCTTTCTGAAACTCCATTAAGTTGTGGAGTACCAGGAAGAGTCCACTACGAGAGAATTCCATTCTCCTTTAGATAATCGAGAAACTCATTAGTCAAATATTCACCTCTTCGATCTGATCGAAGTGTTTTAATATAACGACCAGTTTGTTTCTCCACTTCACATCTAAATTCTTTGAACTTTTCAAAAACTTCAGATTTATACCTTAATAGGTATACATAACCATACCTAGAATAATCATCAGTAAAAGTTATGAAATAGTGATAGTTCCCTCTGGCACTAACATTTAGTGGTCCACAAACATCTGTACAAACCAAATCCAACAGACCTTTAGCTCGCTCTACTTGTCCAACAAATGGTGATTTTGTCATTTTTCCTTTAAGACATGACTCACATGTAGGCAACATATCCTCTCCCCTAAGGTCGAGTTTTTGTCCCAATTTGTAAATCCTTTTTTCAGAAATATGACCTAATCTAGCATGCCAAAGTGCAAATGAACTATGATTATCTAATTTTCTTTTATTTTGTTGAATTGTTAGGATGGGACTTTGTGGTGTAACGGTATATAAACCATTTGTCAAATATCCGGAATATATAAAAGTTGTATCTTTGAAAATAGAACATCTTCCATTTTCAATCACAAACTTAAAACCTTCTCTGTCCAATACTGGAATAGAGATAATGTTTTTTATAATATCCGGAATATAAAGACAATTGTTCAAACAAAGATTAACACCATTATTTAAAGCTAGATAAACAGTTCCTATAGCTTGTGCAACAACTTTTGCTGCATTGCCCATCCTAAGGACCATTTCGTTACTATCTAACTTTCTGCTTATTGTCATCATTTGCAAATCATTGCAAATATGTGAGCCACAACCGGTATCTAATACCCAAGAAACATCATTAACTGATAAGTTAACTTCAAAAAAATAAACACCTGAACTCTTCAGGCTTGTAAGATATTCCTTACAATTCCTC